GACCTACCAACCCCTGACCTAGCAACCCCTGACCCAACCTAACCCTGACCTAACCCCACCTAACCTAACCGTATTAACTGACGAACTATAACAAAGAACATAACAGGTACACTTAAAGAATGTAGTAATTAGTGTAGAGTGCAGGTGAATGAGGCACATACAGACCTTGATAGTTAATGATGTGTGTGGTGGTAACGGTGGTTAAGAGGAGCCATTTACCTGCGTGACGTGGACAAAGAGTGAGTACCCGTTGTCAAGGTTCTGTTACGATGTAAATTGTAGTGCATATGTAACAGCAGCTGGTGGTAGTATGGTGTGGTAGTTTTGGTGGTAGTGTGGTGGGGTAGTTGTGGTGGTAGTGTGGTGGGGTAGTTGTGATGGTGTGGTGATAGTGGCAATAGTCCTGAAAATCCAACCATCTTAAAATTACACCTAAATTTTTTTTACCTTAACTAGATACTATCACACCTCCTCACCAGGTGATTTACGAGGGATTTGATCCGGAAGGTGTTTTGAGAGACTGAAGACTGGCTCGTGGATATTAATTAATTAGTTGTGTTCAGGTAAATTGAGATCTGGATAGGAATTGGTAGTCACGGGGGGGTGAGGAAGGGAGGAAATAAGGGAAGAGAAGGGAGAGGAGGAGGAAAGGGGAGAGAGGTAGGAAGATGTGGAAGGGATGAAGGAAGAGAAGGGGAGGAGGAGGAGAGAGGGGTAAAGTTGAAGTGGGTAATGGGAGGAAGGAAAGGGAGAAGTATGGAGGGAAAGTGGAAGGGGAGGAAGGAATGGAGGGAGGGAGGGAAAACAGTGTAACAATAGACTCGTCACTCATAAGGCCACACTACACAGCTGAGTGACAGTGTGCAGCAGGTAATACAACACGTCTTTGTGGGAGAGAGAGAGAGAGAGAGAGAGTGTAGGGGCGAGGGAGTCATGTGTACCTGTGCATGTTCTGTGATCTCTCTCTCTCTCTCTCCCCCTCCTCCCTCCTCCCTCCCTCCCTCCCTCCCTCCTCCCTCCCTCCCTCCCTCCCTCCTCCCTCCCTCTCTCCCCCGTGTGTGTAGGCAAGCGTCCCTCTCACAACAAAGGGGTTAACCATCTAGTAGTTGGGGTAAAAAACAGAGATATTTTGTCATTGTTTACCGCTGATGAGAACCCCAGAGAAGGTCGGTAAGGTTCTACAACTAACCTCTACAGTATCTCGGTAACTTATACAGTAGTTAAAGTTCCTGTAGATATTCCCTTTAACCTCCTACAGTTGGAGTATTTTAAGATCTAACCAAGAGCCAAGGTCACTTCTATCACCAGGCGCACCACCTTTCATACGGCACCTCGCTCGAGTGCATTTTGTTCCTGCGCACTGCCTCGTGATTGGTGACTTCAGTGTTGACGTCATGGCTTGATATCCTAGATTGTCGATGATGATTGGTTGTCACTGGGCGTCGCTGGTCTGGGGCTGGGGCTTGACACTGTTGACATGAGAAGGATACCACGCCTCTGTGTGTGTGTGTGTGTGTGTGTGTGTGTGTGTGTGTGTTCAAGTGTACGGTATATATACACAGGGCTCGTGTACACCTATCGCCCGCAGAATTTTGTCCGTGAAGGTCGACTTTGTTGTGGCGTGTGGTGGAGGAGGAGGAGGAGAGGAGAGGGTGAAGGGTGAGGTAAGGAGTGTGGAGGATAAGGGAGAAGAATACATGTGTGTGAAGAGAAGGAGGAATGAAGGAGAGGTGAAGAACTAGGTAAGGAAATGAATAAGTGAAGGATAAATGAAGGGTAGTGTATAAACAAAAAATATAACACATCATAACAAAGTGAGATCAAACACCTTAATATGGTCCACTATGGTCTAAAAATGGCCTTCAATGGTCCTTCCTTCACACCCCCCTCACGCCCTCACCCTTACCTACCTTCCCACACCTGCCTCTCACATCCCCCTCACTTTCTCCTATTTAGTGTCTGGTCTTGCGTCTGCAGCCTCCCACGCCATCCCACCCTCCTCCACGCCATCCCACCCCTCTTCCCCCTCCCACGCCATCCCACCCTCCTCCCACGCCATCCCACCCCTCCCTCCACGCCATCCCACCCCCTCCCTCCACGCCATCCCACCCTCCCACGCCATCCCACCCTCCTCCCCCACGCCATCCCACCCCTCCCCTTCACGCCATCCCACCCCTTCCCTCCACGCCATCCCACCCCTCCCTCCACGCCATCCCACCCCTCCCTCCACGCCATCCCCACCTCCCTCCACGCCATCCCACCCCCCCCTCCACGCCATCCCTCCTCCCTCCACGCCTCACTGCTTGTTGACACGCCACTCCTTGTTTTGCCACCGCGCTCTCGTGCTTACCTTTCTGACCTAACCTCCTCCTCCTCCTTCTTTCTTCTTCGTTTTCCCCTTCTTCTTATTCTTCTTTCACACACACACACACACATATCATCAATCCTCTGTTAATTTTAGTTCAGTCATCTGTGTCCACTTTCGTTTTACCTGCTTCTTGGCTGGTGAACATAGCGACCACCGCCTTGATGGTGGTAGTGGTGGTCAGTGAGTGGTGGTGGTAGTTGTGGTTAAGTGAGTGGTGGTAGTGGTTGGTGGTTATTGTGGTCAGTGAGTAGAGTTTGGTGGATGTTGTGGTTAATGTGTGATGGTGGTAGTGGTGTTTGTGGTGGTGATGGTGGTAGTGATGAGTGGAATGATGTTGGTTAGTGATGGTGGTAGTGATGGTGGTAGTGATGTTAATGTAGTGGTAGTTATGGTGGTTGTAGTGGTGACGGTTAATGGTGGTGATAGTGATGGAATGTTTCCTTTATAGTGACACTGATGGTGGTAGTTGTGATGGATGTGTGGTTGGTAGTAACAATTAATAGTGGTAGTAGTTGTGGGTACTGAAGCCACACCCCAACCTAAGCTCGTAAAAAACTGGCATTACTGAAACTGCTTATGTGTTGACTTAAAAAGTAATAATAATAATAATAATGACATCATAATAATAATAATAATAATAATAATAATAATAATAATAATAATGGGCAGAGACGGTATCGGATAGTATTGACGGCATTGACAAGATCTTAATCTACACCCTCGAGAGACGTAGAACGAGGGCGTTATGACAGAGGTGTATAAATGGAAGTCAGGGCTAAACAAAGGTGATATAAAAGGTATTCAAACTATCCAACCAGGAGCGAACTCGTAACAATGGTTTAAATTAGACAAATGTAGATTTTAGGCTCGAAATAGGTAAACAATGGCTTCGAACATAGGTTGGATGGATATATGAGCGATAGGGTGGTAAGGAACTGCTCGGTATGGGTCAATAGGCAATTTCCTCCTTTATTACGTTCTTATATATGGGACAGTAAAATCACACCTGGACCAAATAAGACAATATTACCCAACTATCACTAACTAGTACCAATTCTTCACTAAACAGTAGAAGAAAAAACGATCATAAAGATATAATAATTTTCACCTGTTCTGGTTACCTCATTACCAACACCTGAGGATCACTTACCTGGCCACATAATCACAGGTGTCACCATGATGTAGTAATCCATACCTGTACAGTCCTCTATGTGGGACAGAGCTTGTGTGTGTATGTATCTATGTCTGTCTATCTCTATCTCTGTCTGTGTCTGTCTGTCTGTCTGTCTGTTACGCAAGCAGTGACAACCTTACTAAGGGAGGAGGCGAAGGTGGTGTAATACAGGGTGTAGTGGTGGGTGTCGGTATATCGTTATCGATTATATTTATCGTTAGTTAGATATATCGTTATATTGATCTTTACTGAGATATATCGTTATATTGATCGTTACTGAGATATATCGTTATATTTATCGTTAGTGAGATATATCGTTATATTGATCGTTAGTGGAAATATCGTTACTAAATTTCCCTTATGTTCGTTCTGCCTGATGCCTTAGTGACCTGTAGTTATTATCCTCTCGTGTTGGCGATGCGTTTTGTCATCGCCTTCAAGATTTTCAAAATTATCAATGAGATCTGCCCTATTGTGCTCTTCTTGTGAAGGGTTGTTAGTCGTAAGGTCATTAGTTTAATTGGATAAATCGAGGTGTCGTAGTTCCTAAGGATCTCTAACGAGCTTTTGTGAGTTATTAAATATGTTCTTGTTAATAAATTCCCGCCATTCAACAACCCAGCGACTACGGCCCAAAAATAAATACAGTCAGGAGAGATACAATATAATTTCATCTCTTTATAATTTCTAAACCTTACGTACGAACTTTTAAGAATTTAGTTTGATAAAAATTTGCGAAATGTAATAAATTGGCGTCCGAATCTTGTTTGATTTTTTGCTGTGTCGCAAATAGTTTCCCGATAGCTAAAAAAAAAATGCTTTAAATTAATCCTTGTATGCAATATATTCACGTTATTTATAAATGTATGAAAAAATATATGAACTATGAAGAGGAAGGGAAGGGGAAGAAGAGGAAGGGGAAGGGGAAGAAGAGGAAGGGGAAGAAGAGGAAGGGTGAAGAACGCCCTCATAACGGTGTGTCCCAGGGTCAGTGTAGTAAGTGGGATGTTAGCCTATACAAGACACATCACCTCGTCTTAGTTGCATTGGTCCCACACACCCACACACACACACATACTCTCTTGACCTCCAGGGGACCATTACCATAACATCTGCACCACCACCATCACTACCATCACACTTGCACCACCACCACACTGCACCACTACCACACTGCACCACTACCACCACCACCACACAACCTTGAAATGTCTATAGTTATTGATAGATACGAATTAATTAAGCTAGAATACAAACAACAACAGCGTAAACAACAACAACAACAACGGCGTAAACAACAACAACAACAACGTAAACAACAACAACAACAACGTAAACAACAACAACAACATGGGTTAGTCTCTATAAATAAGGCACCAGAGTTTTATTATCCATCACGGGAAGGAGTCAAGGTATGGCACCCTATTGGCACTATGGACTCACACGTGGCACTGTCCTATGGGGTCAGTGGCACTGTCCTATGGGGTCGGTGGCACTGTCCTATGGGGTCGGTGGCACTGTCCTAAGGGTCAGTGGCACTGTCCCATGGGGTCAGTGGCACTGTCCTATGGGGTCAGTGGCACTGTCCTCTGGGGTCAGTGGCACTGTCCTATGGGGGTCAGTGGCACTGTCCTATGGGGTCGGTGGCACTGTCCTATGGGGTCAGTGGCACTGTCCTGGCGGGGGTCGGTGGTACTGTCCCATGGGGTCAGTGGCACTGTCCTATGGGGTCGGTGGCACTGTCCTATGGGGTCAGTGGCACTGTCCCTTGTCGTCGTGGCACTGTCCTATGGGGTCAGTGGCACGGTCCTATGGGGTCAGTGGCACTGTCCTAAGGGGTCGGTGGCACTGTCCTATGGGTTGGTGGCACTGTCCTATGGGGTCAGTGGCACTGTCCATGGGGTCAGTGGCACTGTCCTATGGGGTCGGTGGCACTGTCCTATGGGGTCGGTGGCACTGTCCTTGTTGTCAGTGGCACTGTCCTATGGGGTCAGTGGCACTGTCCTATGGGGTCGGTGGCACTGTCCTTGTCGTCAGTGGCACTGTCCTATGGGGTCAGTGGCACTGTCCATAGGGTCAGTGGCACTGTCCTATGGGGTCGGTGGCACTGTCCCGGGGTCGGTGGCACTGTCCTATGGGGTCAGTGGCACTGTCCTATGGGGTCGTGGCACTGTCCTATGTAAGGTGGCACTGTCCTATGGGGTCGGTGGCACTGTCCTATGGGGTCGGTGGCACTGTCCTATGGGGTCAGTGGCACTGTCCTATGGGGTCGGTGGCACTGTCCTATGGGGTCGGTGGCACTGTCCTATGGGGTCAGTGGCACCTGTCTTATGGGGTCGGTGGCACTGTCCCATGGGGGTGTGGCACTGTCCTATGAGGGTCAGTGGCACTGTCCTATGGGGTCGGTGGCACTGTCCCATGGGGTCAGTGGCACTGTCCTATGGGGTCGGTGGCACTGTCCCATGGGTCATGGCACTGTCCTATGGGTCAGTGGCACTGTCCTATGGGGTCAGTGGCACTGTCCTATGGGGTCGGTGGCACTGTCCCATGGGGTCGGTGGCGCTGTCCCATGGGGTCAGTGGCACTGTCCTATGGGGTCGGTGGCACTGTCCTATGGGGTCAGTGGCACTGTCCTATGGGGTCGGTGGCACTGTCCCTATGGGGTCGGTGGCACTGTCCTATGGGGTCGGTGGCACTGTCCTATGGGGTCGGTGGCACTGTCCTATGGGGTCGGTGGCACTGTCCATGGGGTCGGTGGCACTGTCCTATGGGGTCGGTGGCACTGTCCCATGGGGTCGGTGGCACTGTCCTATGGGGTCGGTGCACTGTCCCATGGGGTCGGTGGCACTGTCCTATGGGGTCGGTGGCACTGTCCCAGGGGGTCGGTGGCACTGTCCTATGGGGTCGGTGGCACTGTCCTATGGGGTCGGTGGCACTGTCCTGTCGTCGGTGGCACTGTCCTATGGGTCGGTAGTACTGTCCCATGGGGTCGGTGGCACTGTCCTATGGGGTCGGTGGCACTGTCCTATGGGGGTCGGTGGCACTGTCCTATGGGGTCGGTGGCACTGTCCTATGGGGTCAGTGGCACTGTCCTATGGGGTCGGTAGCACTGTCCTATGGGGTCGGTGGCACTGTCCTATGGGGTCGGTGGCACTGTCCTATGGGGTCAGTGGCACTGTCCTATGGGGTCAGTGGCACTGTCCTATGGGGTCGTGGCACTGTCCATGGGGGTCGGTGGCACTGTCCCATGGGGTCGGTGGCACTGTCCATAAGCGGCACCGTCCTATGGGGTCGGTGGCACTGTCCTCTGGGGTCGGTGGCACTGTCCTATGGGGTCGGTGGCACTGTCCTTGTCGTCAGTGGCACTGTCCTATGGGGTCGGTGGCATCCTATGGGGTCAGTGCACTGTCCTATGGGGTCAGTGGCACTGTCCTATGGGGTCAGTGGCACTGTCCTATGGGGTCAGTGGCACTGTCCTATGGGGTCGGTGGCACTGTCCTATGGGGTCAGTGGCACTGTCCTATGGGGTCGGTGGCACTGTCCCATGGGGTCAGTGGCACTGTCCTAGGGGTCGGTGGCACTGTCCTATGGGGTCGGTGGCACTCGTCCTATGGGGTCAGTGGCACTGTCCCATGGGGTCAGTGGCACTGTCCCATGGGGTCGGTGGCACTGTCCTGCGGGGGTCAGTGACACTGTCCTATGGGGTCAGTGGCACTTCCTATGGGGGTCGGTGGCACTGTCCTATGGGGTCGTGGCATTCCTATGGGTCGGTGGCACTGTCCCAGGGTCGGTAGCACGTCCTATGCAGTCGGTGGCACTGTCCTATGGGGTCAGTGGCACTGTCCTAGGGGTCGGTGGCACTGTCCTTGGGGTCAGTGGCACTGTCCTAAGGGGTCAAGTGTTTGTTAGTCTGGGGTTGATGTCCGACGTGTTTGTTTATAACTTGTTGGTGAGGGTGTGAGTTACGCTGTGGTGAGTGACTGGGGAGTGACTGGGACTGTCTGAAGGTGCTTGGGGGTGACTGTGACTGTCTGAAGGTGTTAGTGACTGTGACTGTCTGAGGGTGTTTGGGGGTGACTTTGACTGTCTGAAGGTGCTTGGGGGTGACTGTGACTGTCTGAAGGTGCTTGGGGGTGACTGGGACTGTTTGAAGGTGTTTGGGGCTGACTGTGACTGTCTGAAGGTGCTTGGGGGTGACTGTGACTGTCTGAAGGTGTTTAGTGACTGTGACTGTCTGGGGTGTTTGGGGTGACTGGAACTGTCTGAAGGTGTTTGGGGTGACTGTGACTGTCTGAAGGTGTTTGGGGTGACTGTGACTGTCTGAAGGTGTTTGGGGGTGACTGTGACTGTCTGAAGGTGCTTGGTGACTGTGACTGTCTGAAGGTGCTTGGGGTGACTGTGACTGTCTGAAGGTGCTTGGGGTGACTGTGACTGTCTGAAGGTGTTTGGGGCGACTGTGACTGTCTGAAGGTGCTGGGGGTGACTGTGAATGTCTGAAGGTGCTTGGGGGGACTGGACTGTCTGAAGGTGTTTGGGGTGACTGTGACTGTCTGAAGGTGCTTTGGGGGTGACTGTGACTGTCTGAAGGTGTTTGGGGGTGACTGTGACTGTCTGAAGGTGTTTGGGTGACTGTGACTGTCTGAAGGTTTAGGGTGACTGTGACTGTCTGAAGGTGTTTGGGGGTGACTGTCTGAAGGTGTTTGGGGTGACTGTCTGAAGGTGTTTGGGGTGACTGTCTGAAGGTGTTTGGGGTGACTGTGACTGTCTGAAGGTGCTTGGGGGTGACTGTCTGAAGGTGTTTGGGGGTGACTGTGACTGTCTGAAGGTGTTCGGGGTGACTGTCTGAAGGTGTTTGGGGGTGACTGTGACTTCTGAAGGTGCTTGGGGTGACTGTCTGAAGGTGTTTGGGGGTGACTGTGACTGTCTGAAGGTGCTTGGGTGACTGTGACTGTCTGAGGGTGTTTGAGGGACTGTGACTGTCTGAAGGTGCTTGAGTGACTGTGACTGTCTGAAGGTGCTTGGGGTGACTGTGACTGTGAAGGTGTTTGGGGTGTCTGTGACTGTCTGAAGGTGTTTGGGGGTGACTGTGACTGTCTGGGTGTTTGGGGTGACTGTCTGAAGGTGTTTGAAGACTGTGACTGTCTGAAGGTGTTTGGGGTGACTGTGACTGTCTGAAGGTGCTTTGGGGGTGACTGTGACTGTCTGAAGGTGCTTGGGGTGACTGTGACTGTCTGAAGGTGCTTGGGGTGACTGTGACTGTCTGAAGGTGTTTGGGGGTGACTGTGACTGTCTGAAGGTGCTTAGTGACTGTGACTGAGGCTGACTGTGACTGTCTGAAGGCGTTTTGGGGGTGACTGTGACCGGGGGTGACTGTGACTGTCTGAAGGTGTTTGGGGTGACTGTGACTGTCTGAAGGTGCTGGGGGTGACTGTGACTGTCTAGAAAGTGCTTGGGGTGACTGTGACTGGGGGCTGAATGTGACTGTCTGAGGGTGTAGATGAGCCCAGGAACCAGGAAGTTTGCTCCGGTGATAGGCAAACAGTGAACCCACGCTGAGGCGGCCACCACTCACCCGCCAAGGCTCGCCATACCTGGCCACACTGACACCTCGCCATATCACATTCCAACTTGCCACACCACACCACCGCCAGCCACACCACCGCTAAGCCACACCACTGCCAGCCACACCATAACTGCCTTAAAAAGCATCATTTGCAGACGAGGTATTACGATATTAGTTTCAACTTTACTTATTATAATGAAGCCGATTCTCGGTGTGTGTGTGTGTGTGAGAGAGAGAGAGAGACACACACACACACACACACAGGCGGAAGTTAAAGGTTTAAATGCACTGACAACACCTGAATAAGACAAACATTTTTTATACTCTTTAGTTACCCATGCGTACACACACACACACACACACACACACACACACACACACACACACACACAGGCGGAAGTTAAAGGTTTAAATGCACTGGACAACACCTCCGAGAATAAGACAAACATTTCTTTATACTTTAGTTACCCATGCGTACACACACACACACACACACACACCCACAGTCACGCGTGCCCACACAAACACCTCAGTTAATTACTAGTGCAAAACACACACACACACACACACACACACACACACACACACACACACACACGATTAACCCGTCCAATCACGACTACGCCCATCTGCTTGTGTTTAAGTCTCGTTATAGCTGTGTGACGCCCATGCTGCCACCCACGACCCAGACTGGAGGCGAGGCCAGGCGGCGCGGCGGATGACTCTCTGCATGTCATTCATCCGGCAGACACAAGAGGCCGGCCATTACAGGTAATCATCCGTCCTCAGGCATTCCACTCACCTGTTGGCGACAGCACAGGAGAGATTCATTTAGTACGTACAGGTGTCATTATGGCAGATGGCGCTGGTAAGTGGAACGGTGGGGTGGGGGCGTGAATGTGTGTGGGGCGTGGAGGTGGGTGGGGCGTGAAGGTGGGTGGGTGGGGTGGGGACGTGGAGGTGGTGAGGGTGGTGTGGGGCGTGAGAATATGGGGGGCGTGAGGATGGGCGGAAGATGGGCGGAGGCGTGGGGATGGGAATGTGAGAAAAGGTCATGGTGGTGGGGGAGGAGGGGCGGTATTGGGGGGGCCGGCAGCACGAGGGTCAATAAAAACACCCACGACCCAGGCACCATCCTCTTCTCTCGTGTGTGTGTGTGAGAGTCATCGTACAAGTGTCTTAGATTGACGGGGAACTTGTTATTTTCCACGTCCTTGTGAGAGATGACCCCCCACCCCCCCACCCCATACACGTACAATATGTTGTATTCATGTTACGCTGAACAGGAAGTGGGGTCTATTATGTGTAGTTACCTCACCTAACCTAACCCAACAGTGTAGTGTGTGTGTGTGTGTGTGTGTGTGTGTGTGTGTGTGTGTGTGTGTGTGTGGGGCCACTTACTGAAGGTAGAAGGAGAACACGTGTTGAGCAGACCTGACGCTCCCTCCATCAACCTGAGCCTCCCTCCCCCTCCCTCCTTCCTCCATTGTGCACCCCATAATGTTCCTCCTCCTCCTTCTCTCCCCTTCGTCCTCCTCCTCCTTCCTCCTTGCAGTTCTTGTAAAGGTTCTCAATAGATTAAGAAATGTTATCCCCGTCCAACTTCACCTCCCTGCCTCTTGGTTAGGTTAGGGTTAGGTTAGGTTAGGTTAGGCTAGAAGAAGTTAGGGTTAATTGTCAGGTATTCCCCCGCTATTATGACGTCATTACCTGCCGTGATATAAAAGACCAATTAACTGAGTCAACAGGTGTAGCAGTAAGTGAGGGGTGGTGGTGAGGGGTCTGGTGGTAGGGGTGGTAGGGGTGGTGGTGGTAGGTGTTGGCCTGGTAGGGTGGTGGTGGTAGGGGTGAGGGCGTGGTAGTGGTGGTAGGTGGTGGTGGTGGTGAAGGGTAGTGGTGGTAGGGTGGTGGTTGGGTGAGGTGGTGGCGTGGTAGGGGAGCAATACGCAACTGAACGAAGTACTGA